GGTCAGAGTTGGAGGCCAGCAGGGCGGCTCCTGCTAGGGCAATACACATCCAACAACCCTGAGGTGACCTCTTTACCTGATGTAAAGAAACTCCAGATGGCACGGGAACACCTTGGAAATGGGAAGACGAGACTTCCCCCACCAGCTCCATGGAATTCTTTGTCACCTGATGAGTCTAACCCCCAGGAACAAATCTTACCTGGGTCACAGAAATCCAACAAGTAAAGGGATGAGACTGACAAATGTACTCTTTGTTTGAAGAGGGTCCTGCAAGGCAAAGAGGAGATTCCCAACTGCTTTTGCTTTCTAATGGTTCAACAGCAAGTAGACACATTGGCTGACTTATTTACTATGCTCTGGAACCATGAAGAAATTCAGTTGGGTTGATGTTCCAGTGAAATGCCATGCAGCAGGCTGAGTTAAGCTTGCTGAGGGGCAGAGTCTGGGCTCTTTGGAAGATCTCTTAGGCCAGCCTAAGTCTCTGAACCAAAGGAAAGGGAGAAAAGCGTGGAGAGGGGGATTCCACCCCCTCAGCAAATGCTGGGATACACACACTTCTCAGAGGAACTGTTTGTCTTTTATCCTGGAGCCAGCCCCACCTACAAGGCTGAGGAACATATTTACATATTTCAACTTCTTTGCTGGCTGGATCACTAGAGAAAGTGATGATTCCGAGATATACAGGGAAGAAAAATGTTCTTGGAAAAGGATATGCCTATCAGTTTAGGAGAACAACTCATAGTTATGCAAATCCTTTGCTTGAGGTTTGTTTTTCATCCTACCTTCTTCTACCACCTCAGTTCCTAAGGCTTTAAGGGACTGCAAAGTTAACAGCCAGATTCTGGTTTAAACATATAGACAACACAGTTTACCATACTGCTTTTCATGCATGAAAGAAGCCTTGGTAAAGTATATGCCTTTGACTCTGCAATTGAACTTTCTAGGAATTTGGCTTAAGGAAATTGTAATTTTTCACAGAATGTACATGGGTGATTACTGCAATTTTGTTAAAATAAACCAGTCAAAAAATGGTATCGGTTAAAAAAATATGCTATAATAAAGCCCTAGGGTTCTAGCTAGTCATTAAAAATGTTGCCATTGGGGAGAAATTTATACTGTCTATAGAAATTTGCATGCTTTATCATTAAATAAAAAAGCAGCATTTAAGATACTATCATCTTATTTTTATTTTTTCCCATGTCCTCAAGGAATTTATTGTCTTGTTTGAAGAACACATGTAATTATAACAAAACAATTATATATATATGAATGTGATAAGTGCTGTACAAAGCTAGGTAAGCTAAATCCCATTTTAATAACAACCGATGAATCTATATTCAACAAAGATATGATCTTGTTTTTCTACATTCATAAAGAAAAAGCATGATACAATTCAAAATGGTGCAAAACTTATTTTATTTTTGCTTTTTACTCTCTATTGTCTGAATTACTACAGTGACTACGTACTACTTGGGTAATTACAATAAAGAGCAATAATAGATTGTTTCACTTGATATTTTCCTTAGGGACAGCTCTAAGTTCGGGCACCCAGGTTTTCTTTGCTCCCTGGGATCTGGGGCATGTTTCTATCGAAGCAGCTCCCACAGCTGTCTGCCAGGACAAAGTAAAGATGAAGTGATTCTGCTTTCAGCTACAATAAGCCAGGCTGATAGACCATGTAAGAAGGCAGGTAAAAATTGGCCCCTTAGATCTAAAATTGACATTGATTTAACCTGCTAGGCCCTTGAAATCAAATCTGCAAGAAGGTGATTTAAATCCCATTGTTCTTTTGTTTCCCTTTTAAGATTAATGGATGGGGAGAAAGTACTGGAACTGGAATGACTGACCCAAGGCTTGAGGTGGGCAGAGGCGCTGTCTGCTAGAACAGGACAAGCCTCTGAGCACTCAGGTGAGGAAGGGCACACTGTGTTTTTACAGAATCTCATTTTCCTTCAACCTGTTATCACAGTTCAAGAGTGAGAACTGCCATTTTAAATTGAATGTCTTGCTCGTGTGGATCAACCATCTTTAATTCCTAATCACCTTCTTGCCAATAGTTGTAACTTTTGATCTGGAAATATTGGGTTATGTAACATGCCAATCTGCACAAGGCTATAATTCTGTCAGAAAAAGGGACCCGACAAAGCACAAATTCTAACAAAACTAGAAATGACTTTTCTAAGAAAAGAGATGATATTTTTGTTTCAAGCATTTGAAGCTCATTTTAAATAGACTTTGGATGCAATGTTGCTGGTTCTTTTGGGGCTGTTGGTTTCCCTGCCCAACCTTACAGAACAAACATACAGTGTTGTGCAGGGATGAAAGAGGTAGAAGGGGAATGATCATCTGTGAGGGACCCAAAGTTGTGTAAACTAGGTGATATTGTCCCCTTTTATAGGGGAGAGAACTGAGGTGCCCAGATTAACCTACCTAAGGCCATTTAGTCACGATTCCGACTCAATAAGTGAAGGGACATAAGCCACTTCCTACCAACTCACAAACCCCGGAACCACGAAAGGTCGAAGAGATCACACTAAATAGAATCAGACTACTGGAGGAGAGTTCTTGAAACCCCAAATTGCCACTGCCATAATGCCCACCCTTCTGATGGAACATCTCCAAGGTGGGGAGCTCACTAACTCATATTCCAGATCCTTCCACTCCCTGTACAGCTGCCTTCCTATGGTTCCTCTTTAGGCTTCTCAATGGTTCTAATCCCAGGGCCAGGGCTGACTCCCCTGCTACACCACCACCACAGTTCATTAGGTGGGCTAACTGCTTACTGCTCTCATTCTATCTTCACCCACAAAGAGAAGCCTTGGTAAGAGTAAGATATTGGCAGGCGAAGAATCTGAGAAATCTCTCTAGAAAACAACCTCTCACCCTTGATACCTCCCCAACCCCAGAAGATGGTGATTTCACATGTACCCTACCCCAAGTCACTTAGAGATGCAGGGTGGGAACAGAAGCTTCTTGAACCTGTTCCTTAAACCTACAGGAACAGGACGTCTAAGTCCCAAATGCTCCCTGAAGGACTAGGGGAGTTCAATTCACCTATTTACAAGGACCTACTGCAGGCAGGGCACCACTGAGAGCAGATGTGCGTTCAGAAGGTTGCAACTGGTCCAATCCTACTAGTTAGTTAGCAGTCATCGCCCTCACCAGAGAAAACAGCTTCTTTCTCATCTTCCTTCTAACGCCTAGAAACAGGGAATCCCGTTTTTGCGTTGTCTAGCCTCCCACAAACCTCCCCTTTCCTCCCCAACGCGCGTGCGCAGAAAACTTGCTCCTACTGCCACCACCTGTGAAAACACCCCTCCTAACTTTGGCACAGAGCTCTGGGGTAAAGACGAGCAGCGGAACGCCCAGAGCGCACAAAGGTTCTCCAAGAAGGAGGTCCGGAAAAGGTGCGGTGGGGACCCCACCCCTGTGGCTCTCCAGGCTGGATCACGGTTGTCTCAGCTCCGGTTTCCAGCCCAGGCCCCGCCCACTAGGTAGCCCCCCAGTTTCGGACCACGGCTCTGGCCACCTGGAGCCCAAGGACCCAGACGACCAGCCCACACCTTCGGAGAATGCACCTCCCCCCCGCGCTCCCCAGACTGCAAGTGGCTGGTGGGGAAGAGGGCCACGTGGGGCCATCGCCAGGGCTGGGGAGCCTGGACGTGCGAGCCCAGCGAGCTTGGAAACAGGTTGCTGCCGAGCCCATCTCCCACTCTTTTCGCCCCACTGCAACGCGATTCCCGCCTAGACCACGAGCAAACCCAGCCACCTTAGGGCGCCCTGCTCCTTGGACCTCTGTGTCCCAGTCAGAGCCCTTGGGGCTGACTGGATAAAGGTGCCTTCCTTCAGCAAGGTCAAGGCGCGGCCGGCCCGCACCTGGGGAATTTTCCCATTCAAGCGTTGGCTATGCAATCGCATTGTTAAGGATCATGGCAGCGACAGGAAATCCGAAGAGCCCCACCGGTCTGTAGGAGGGAGGATTTATTTTACAGCGCCAAACACTCTCAGAAAGACCCAGGATTTCAGGGAGGAGGGGATGCGGTGTTTCAGGACTCTGTAATGTGGCAAAAACAAAACACTCCCCACCCATACACACCACCATCTACTGACTTGGTGTGTGTGGTGGGGAGGGAGTTCAGGGCCACTAAACCCCAGACTCCAGCGTTCCGCAGAGATCTGTTAGGGCTGGGGTGGCTTATATCTCCAAAGGCAAAAAGCAAAAAACAAAACAAAACAAAACAAGAACACACACACAGAGAAAAAAAAAAAAAACAAGATTTTTAACACTCTACCACCGCGGTTTCTCTATCAAAGACCATCAACGTGCTACAGGCTGCGGCGGGGAAAGGAAGGGAACAGAGATAGGGAAAATAAACGCAATAGAAGCAAACTGCTCTCTGCGGAGGGGAAAGCCAAGGGATGGGTGGAAGCCATGCCAGCACCCAGCTCCATCCTATCCCCAAGAGAGCCGGGTCAGCCCAGCAAACCAGGAACAGGTGCAAGAAGGTGGCTGCCCCAGGTAGAGGCCAACGCTCTACTCTTCACCCCTACCTCTTGCTAAACTGGGCCTGGAGGGCTGGGATGCCTAGGCATCTCCGAGAGGGACCTGGCATAGCAGGCAGGTCTCTAAACACGTGAAGGGCACTGCTTGTGAAAGAGAGGGAAGGGCGCCCAGAGAAGCCAAAGAGACAGTCTTTGGGGTTCGCCCAGAGAAGTCAAGGAAACAACATTTGGGGCTGCCCAGAAAACACTGTTCCCTGGAAGGCCTTTCAACACTCCCGAGGGGAGGAGGTTGGGGCTCTGAGGACTCAAGGAAACCTAAATTCTGACTGCTCCTCCTCTGGGATCAGTGCTGGATCCCCACCCTTTCAGTCCCTGCCTCAGAAACCGGTCATTTGGGGGCCGCAGCATCAGCCCCCAACGCCCATTGAAGCAAAAGTGGGCGCCTGATATTAGATGTCCCAGCTTTCCACTCTGAAGTAGAAGCGCAATGTACTTACATTCCCCAAGCAGGAAAACTTTCAGGCTTGTCTTTCAACAACCGGGTGTTGTTATCACAGTTCTTTATAATCACCGAGACAGCTTATATAATTGTCCGCGATGCCTGGGCAGATCTCACTCGGTGCCGGGTCTCACAGCTCAACACATGGGCACCCTCTGGCCCCGGGCGCTCGGAATCGAGAGCTGCCCCACTGGCGCCTTCTACAAAGAGACCTCCTGAGCTAGTCAAATGCCAAGTGTGTACACAGGCTCCGGCGAAACCTCGGCTGCTTTCCTGCGCTCCTTTTTCTGCGTTGGTGGCTTACGGTTAACTGCATCTCTACGAACCTTCTCGCTAGGGCTGGGGGTGGGGGACAGGGACTGGGTGGGCGATTGGTGTAGTTTTGGTGAGGGCTCTCGGCACCCAGCTGAGCAGTTACACCACCATTCACATGGACCTGGGTACAGAAATCGCCTTAACATCTCACCAGAATGAACAGCCAATTTCCAAAGTTAGATACCGCGCAGTTGAATTTCCAGTACTTTCCAACCTCCCCTAGATTGGGGGTAGGGCAGAGAAGGGGCCAGCACTGGCCAGGGCTTCCCTGACCAGCCAAGGACTCACTATTTGACCCCCTCCGTACGCGCACACACACCCTTTCCCCAAGTAGTTGGACATGTATTCCTTGGTTGCATGTGTATACACACACACACACACACACACACACACACACACACACACACACATTCCGAGCCACCACCTTCCCGAATGCTGCTCCAATATAAAGACTGCATTTTTAAATCGAGAGGAAAATGACTGAGCTCAGTGATCACATTTCAGCACGTTGCCGAAGCGAGGGGTGAGAGGAATCACACAAACACTCACAACCGGGAGCCCCCCAGAGCGTTCGCAGCCTCAGTTGCTCCGAGGTGAACGTGAATACAGCGGCCAGGGCTGCCAGCGAAGAGAAGCAGGCGCCGCGCGGGTTGCGGAGGGC